GTGTCCAAGGAGTACTGATATATTCTAAATTGGAAACAAAAGTATTAAGGAACAGAGAGAATGCATATATTTTACTTTAACTTATGTGTGATATTAGGCATGCATATGCTGACTTTTGCTACTCAGGGAAAATAGAATATATATTTTGCAAATATTCAGAATAATGTTCTATATATACTATGTTCTATTTACTATGATACTGTGGCATGTTTAATATATTTCCAAATATATTTCTATGGAGACTGTATTATAAAGTTTGCCATTAAGTCTCATTGAAAGTAACATGCATTTTTCTCATTGAAGCAATGTTGTACACAGTAGTTGTACATAGCTCACAACAGTGTATAAATTGAATACACTGCACCAGTTATGTTATACAACTGGACACCTGTGTGTAAACGTGCCTTTAATTGCAGTTCTGAGTGGAGGTTATTATAAACTACCCCCCACTTAAAAATAGGGCTATAAATAGTTGATGATTATCTATCTGCAGACAACACTGTTACAGGACATTTTTATGCTTCCAAAGATCTCTATGAAATGTGATTAATTTGGCAGTAAAGGATACAAATAGGTTAAAAAGAACCCGGAGTTCTGGTGATACTGGGGGAGTGGTCTTCAATAATTAATCAGAGTTGTTGCATCACTTTTCTTCCCAGAAGTAAATTAAACATTATTAAAACTCTTGCCTTTTGACTAGAATTACTGACACTTCACTTCTCTTAACTTGTTCGTATCAGATTTATTTCTATTCTTTGAGCGTGAGGTGGTTTAGCTATTCCTCAATAGCAGGAAGAACAGATTCTGGGAATTTAGGTAAGCTCTGACTAGATTTAAAAGAAAACTGTGGCTGAATCTCTAGTGTTAATATCCCTGAAGAAAGACTAGAACAGTAGAAGGTGACAGTCAGCATGGAGTCCAGAAAAGGGCGGGGTGGGGTGTGGTGGCAAAGAGCAGTAGTTTTTCCCTGTGTCTCCAGTGTTATCTAGAGGAAAATATGCCTTGACTGGAGGGTCACATCAGCTCTGAACTCCACCCAACTAGCAACACCCTTCCTCCAGGAGCCTTCCGATTGTAGTTTGACCTCCCATGTAGTTTTACATTTTTGTTAATGAATAAATGAATGAATGAACTTTTAGAGAGAGATAATACACTAAGAGCCAAGAGTAGCATTCCTATCTTGGCTGATGTAATTCTCAATGAAAAGTCATATCTTGATATTCTGGCTACTAGATCAGCCTCTTACTTTGGTTAGGTTGACTCTGTTTCCTTGACACTGAACAACTCTAAGTAATCTGATAAAAAAGAATATTTGTTTCTTTTTTTTGTTTTTGTTTTTGTTTTTTTTTTTGCGGTACGTGGGCCTCTCACTGTTGTGGCCTCTCCCGTTGCGGAGCACAGGTTCCGGACGCGCAGGCTCAGCAGCCATGGCTCATGGGCCCAGCTGCTCCACAGCGTGTGGGATCCTCCCGGACCGGGGCACGAACCCGTGTCCCCTGCATCGGCAGGCAGACTCTCAACCACTGCGCCACCAGGGAAGCCCTGATAAAAAAGAATATTTGGATTGCAAAGCTGAGGACCAAGCCTCACCAAGGCGTTTTAGGTGTTTCACATGAACCTGGCTTTATTCATTCATTTGCTGAAAAATTATCAAGCTCATATTATGTGCCAGGCACAGGGCTAGGCTCTGGAGCTATCACAATGAACAAGAGAGAATTCTTGCCCTTACAGAGCACATCATCTAATAGGAAGGAGAAATTAATGGGAAGTTTCTTCATAGTGTGATAAGAAGGAAGACAGGGTTAAATACAGAAACTTTAGGGGAAAGTGGGAGGGAGGGATACCTCATGCATGCCTGGGAGGGTGGAGTAGGCTTCCAACAGGAAGGGATAAATAAATAGAGCCAGCCAGAAGAAGTGGGGGAACTTTCCAGTCAGTGTTGGTGGGAGCCAGGTGTGAAAAGTCCAGAGGCGCAGTCCAGAGCCCAGAGACTGAGGGTCAGGCCCAGGGGAACAGTGAGCCGCAAAAGGAAGAAGGAGAAAGAATGACTATAGCGTATTGAAGGAAAAGGGGAATAATTAAAGGGGAATAAAGTCTTTAGATTTTTTGTTTAGGAAGATCACTCTGGTTGCATTTCGCAGTTTAGAGTTAAGGGAAAAAGATTGATGTCAAGGAGGTTCAAATAAGGAGGTTGTTTGAAGCGTCCAAGTGATATTGACATCTCTCTAACCTCTCAGTTGAAGAGCTTTGTAAAAGCTAAATTCTAACATGGGATTCCAGGGATGCATCTTACCATCATCAGGGCTGCCATCTGAGACCTTCCCCTGAAGCCACAAAGGCACAGGGTGAGAAGCAGAGATGAATTACTACAGTTTGAGAGAGAGGAATCTGCTGTGTCAGGGAGAAAGTAGGGGAGCCCTATGGAGATGGGTGGAGGTTTCTGTTGTCTTTTGACTGGGTCTGCTGTCCCAGGACGAGCATTCGTATTTAGGGGACATATTTAGCAGGCTGTATTTAAATCAGGGACAGTCTATAATCTAACATACGAGTAAAGGACAAGAAATGAACATGAACTGGGTGCCAGCTATACGCTAGCCTGTGGGCCAGATGTCTTACATATGTAATATGATTTAACTATCCCCACAACTATTTGTAGTAGATATTATGGTAGAGAGATAGGAGTAGAGAGGTTAAATAACTAGCCTAAAATCACAGAGGTAATAAATGGCAGAGCCAGGTTTTGAAGATAAATCTGGTTGCTTTATCATGCTGCCTCCTAGTAATGTCTATTTTACACAACCTGGTGATTACTATTTTACCTTGGCAATGTTGACTACAGCACCATAGCCAGTTGAAAATGCACATCCAAGCAAACTCTCTCTAAATTGGCATCATCATCAACATTGGCAAGGTTAACATCTGACACTACAGTGTACTGACTGAAGGTACTGGTTCCCATGAAATGGTAAAGTCTTCCTCTGCAGGTAAACCTGCTAGTTTTGTCTTCCATTAATTTTTGATCACCCACAGGATTTTTGAAATGCCTAGGGGAAAAAGATACAAAAAAAGAGAAAGTAGATGGATCACTGATTACTTTCCTGAAGAAAAAAATTAGGCGTTGTGTATTCATTATGATAATTTTATTAGATGGAAAAATTGAAAAAAAATGGCTTGAGAATTTTCACCTAAATATATAGTCAGAAGTGGTCTAAAGGTAATAATGATAATAATAATACACTTTTGATTGTATACTTCTTATGTGCCAGAAACTCTTTTAAGGGCTTTACATGTATTTCTTTAAAAAAATTGTATTATGGAAAACTCAAGCACCTATAAAAGTAGAAAGAATAGCAAAATGAATCCTCATGTAACCATCTCCAAGCTTTGGCAATTATCGATTCATGACTGATCTAGTTTCATCTATTACCTACCTGCTTCCCCAACACCAGCACCTATCCTCCCCACTTTGGACTATTTTGAAGTAAATCCTAGACATTGCTATTTCATCTGTAAATATTTCAGTATGTGTCTCTAAAAGATAAAGATTCTTTTAGTTCCACACATTGCATTTGGTTGATATGTCTCTTAGGTCTCTTTTAATTTATAGGTTCCCACCCCACCTCTTGTTTTTTCCCTGCCATTTATTTGTTGAAGAAACAGTCATTTGGCCTACGGAATTTTCTTCGCTCTAGATTTTTCCGATTACACTCTTGTAATCTGGCTTAACATGTTTCTCCATCACTGTACTTCCTCTAAACTAGTATTTTTGATCTGAATGCTTGATCTGATTCAGGTTTTATGTTTTTGTAGGAATATTGCTAAAATAGTGTTGTGTATTTTCATCTGGAGGCATATAATACCTTATCTCTATTTTTGTGACGTTAGGAAGAATTGATGGTCATTGTCAAAATCTATTATTAAAGGTTTTCACAAGCGTGTATTCATTCTTTGAATATCTGCAAAACCCTGTGAAGTAGGCATTATTATTGTCCCCATTTTACAGATGAGGAAATTGAGGCACAGTAATCTATGTAAGAGTAGTAAAATTTTAGCTTCTAAAATAACTAGTTTCAATTAGAATTAAGCATAAACAGATCTTTCTATAGTCTCAGTAGAGAATAAGGCAATTAAAAATTTTGACTCTGGAGCCAGACTGCCTAGGTTCAAAATCTAGCTCCAAGACTTATATCTATGTGCTCTTGGAATAAATTACTGTGACTCATTGCATTCCTGTCTCATCCTCTGTAGAAGTAGCTATTATTCTGAATGTGGTATTTATCATTCCCTTTACTACATATACATGAACCATAAACAATATATGGTATTGTTATTGTATACGACTAAATTTATCTGTGAGAAACTTGCTTCCTTCCCTTAACATTATATGTGTGAGATTATTCTATGTTGATACATTTAGAGCAGGTTTAGCTATTCTCATTGTTATATAGTATATCTAGAGCAAGTTTAGCCATTGTCATTGTTATATAGTAATTCCATTGTGTTACTACATAGCAATTAGTTAATCTATTTCTTATTGAAGGACATTTACCCTATTTTCAATTGCTTGTTATTACATTGTTGCAGTGATCATTATGGTGCATGTCTGTTTGGGTGATTTTACAAGTTTCTTGTACACATCTAGAATTGGTGGGTACAAAGTGTCCACCTCTTCAACTCCATTTAGGTATGCCAATGTACTGCCCAAAATATTTGTAACAATTTATACTCTTACTAATAGTTTATAGAGCTTACTTGATTTTTCCACAAAAATTTGTGTGTGAACTCAGACAGAACTTGCATTTTCCACATTGAGGTGTATAGAGTGGAATTACTTTGTCACCTAGAAAAAAAGGCCATGTGTTAGATGATGCCTAAGATGTTACTTATAGTTTCTACCAGGTGAATTGGTGGAAAACACCATTCTTTATGGTATACATTTTATGTTCAGTAGGAAGTATAGGTGGCTACAGTATTTTATTAACCTACAAGATTGCTGATTCTCCCAAGTACTGTATATACTGTCTTTTTCGTTTTTTCTCTGCTGGGCAGTCAAGCAACACATCTGTATTATACCATCAGGTGCAGAGTCCTTTATGAGACTCTGCTGTCATTGCAACCCTCTGCATTATGACTATTATTTATTACATAATGACTTTATTTATTACATTTCTAAACATCCTGCATGGAACAGAACATCCTTATATAATAGGGGAGGTGGGCAATAGGCTAGATATGGAGAGTAAACTATATATCATCTTCACGTTTCATCATTTAATTCACTCTCAAATTCTACATTTTCTACTTTTTATTCAGTTTCAGTAATGATTTCTATCCTCTGATGACCAAGGTCCAATAATGATGATTAACATTTGTTCAACATTTAGTATGTGTCAGTCACCATTCTAACTGCTTGCATGTATTATCTCATTTAATTCTCAGGCCAACCCTTTGAGATGGGTACTGTTATTGTCCCCGTTAGAAAATGGAAATCTGAGCTGAGTCACAGAAAAGTGACTTAACTGGTTAAGGTCACACAGCCAGTAAGTGGTAGAGCTGGGACTACATTGGCCAGACTTGTTTGTGGATGCCAAATTTTGGAGAGCAATTTGTTTCTATAATCTTGTTTTGAATGGAAAGATACTAATATACTTCTCAGTTTGGAGCATCCTCATTAAAGGAAGAAAGAATGATACGGTTCATCCTGCCTGATAAGTGACAATTGCATAGCTCATATTTGATGGATCTGTTACAAAATGTAAAGTAAATAATTCGACTGTTGGCATGCTTCATATACATGTTTATCTTACAAACTTCCAAGAAGACATTTAAGCTAACATTGACATACGCATAATATTTCTCGCTTAAGCTACCTATAAGTAATCATTCTTTAAATTCTTTATAATATTAAAATAGTTTTCTGTTTTATTTAGGGGAGGTTGTTTTAAATTGTCATCTGTTCCCCCTTGGAAGCTCAGTGTAAGCTCACCTTGTAGCTTTGCATCACAGGACAGTTTCGCAGTGCTGTGTGTAAATAAAGTGACCATATTTCCCAGATTTTATTAGACAGTTCTTTTTTTTTCATTTCCCAGACCAGGGATCAAATTTGCACCCCCTGCAGTAGAAGTGAGGAGTCTTAACCACTGGACTGCCAGGGAAATCCCTAGGCAGCTCTGATTGGAAATATTGTGTCTCATTGCTAACTCTGATAGACTGTGTGCTTCAGTTTTGCTTTGGAAAAGATGGTCCCCTTATGTAAACAGAGATCAGTTATAGCATGCAAAGCCAGGACTGTATCAGGAATTATCCCTGAAATATCCTGACATTTCCATTTAGTTGGAATCAGAAATTTAAATACCTGGTTTGAAGTTGGTCACTCCTGGCCCAACACTTTCCACAATTCCTGCAGCCTCATGGCCAAGGATCACTGGGAAAAACCCTCCTCAAATTGAGGGTGGATGACATGGGCATCAGTATGGCACAAGGTGGTGGCGATTATCTACCAAGCAACCGCAGGCTTGAGTCCTGTTTCTGTAATTATATCATTGGGGTTGTTAGGAGGATAATTTTAGGTCCAATGACACCTTGAAACTTAACAACGCTCATTGAGCTCAATGAAAGAATTGCATTTTGAAAAAAAAAAGAACAATTAAAAATATGTTACGATATATTCTTTCCTCTTAATGCATCTTTATTTTCTTCCTTTCACTGTCACTGAAAAATCACACAAAGAGAGAAAATTGGCAGTCACTGTCTCTAGGAGAGGAGAAATCAAAGGTCAAGTTAAACTCTGTTAGAGGGAGTGGAGGGGGAACGTAGGTTTCTAGGGCTTGTTCAAATTTTGTTGAAATGACATGAAATACAACAGAGGTAATAAAACTTTTATAGTTAAAAGATATCAAATAAAGGATTGTCTTAATTAATTACGAAGTGTCCCAGTATTATTTTTCAGGATTCTGTTCATGAGGTTATCTCATTCATTCTCATGCATAAACTCTTACTGTGGTGATCCTGAGGAAAAATATAAGCCAGGTCAGCTGCGGAGAAAATGGAGAAATTGACTCAACTTGTCACCTATGATCCCTCTCTGCTCAGTACCATGTCTTCTCCCTGCTGTCTCACTTCTGTCCCCTCCTCTGGGCACCCAGGACCTTAGCATCAGATCTTTCCTTGTTTTGAACCAAACTCTCAATCTTTCTTTTAATAACACTTTTCAATAACTGGCAACTGGAAAACAAAAAGAAAACCTACCTAATTATAATCTAAAATGAATTCCTTTGTCTGATTCTTACAATTTACCCCTCCTGGGGATAATACCTGTTTTTAACGTGAACCTAAATATGTAATTCCCCCATAGTGAAAACTCCTGGGACTCCCAGTTATACTACGTAGGCTTGACCTGACCGAAGCCAAGTCTGCATTTGGCGTCTTGCCCGCCCCGCCCTGGGAAAGTCCACACTCACCTGAATTCGAACTTCATGAGCCTTGAGGGGAGCTCCCTCAACCTCTTCAACGCTGAGGGGCTTGTTTGCTTTCCAGGCGATAGCTGCTTTGCATTTAATAACCTGAGAAAGAGGGAGAGGGGGAAAGGATGGGAGGGAGGAAGAGAGAAGGAGAGAGAAAGAAAGAATATCATGGAAAAAAAATGAACGAACATGTTGATACTATTATTTTATGAAAGAGAGTTTTGGAGTTTGTGGCTGGATGTTATATATAATTATATTATTCTAAAGACAAGGGACCTTAATTGAAAATAAGAAGTCAAATTCTACATTGTAGTCATTGCACTTTTAATTTTCAAAAAGAACAGGTGTATTAAAGTTTACCCTATTATAAAGCCTTGATTTTTTTCTCTCCAGAATAAAGAGGATAAATTTATAGGATTTGGGCATGGTAGATGACCAATATGTGTTTGTTGATCGAACGATTTGTTATCAGCTCTGCATTACCTGAATCCTTATTGCTAGAGCAGATGTGTTTTACATCTTCGCTGCTCAAAATGTGGACCTCCCTGCCACCAGCAGTTATTGACATCACCTGAGAATTTGCTAGAGCTGTAAGCCCTGTCCAAACTCCACTGAATCAAAATCTGCATTTGAACAAGATCCCCATGTGATTCATATGCACATAAAAGTTTGAGAAGTGAGGCTTACATAATTATTAAATTTATCAGTAGAATATACATTAAATAAAAATTTTGTCCCTTTGAAAGAATTTGGGTAAAGATGTATGAAAAGAAATTAAGCATTAAAAATTTTACAATCCCCAGATTTAAAAAATTTTAGACTCTTAAAATTATATTTTTAATTTTAAATGTAAGTAACATTGAAGGAAAGTGGAAAGAAACAAACCTATACTCCTTCATTCTAATGCTACTATTTTTACTTTTGGTATGATTTTCCCAGTCTTTTTCCACATGAATACATATTTTTTGATACCTGTTATGCAATTTTGAATTGTATTTTAAATATCATGTCTTATAAATGTAACGTGCTGATTATGGAAAGTTTCAAAATGAAAATATGAAAAAAGAAACAAAACCCATCTGTAATTTTATCTCCCACTTTAGGATTTTGAGGTAAATCATTTGAGTTTTTTTCACATGTGTTTTTTTCACATGTTTTTTTCACTGAAGACATGGAAAGGAGACGTGACCCATGAGCCCCCCCCCCCCCCCAAACAGGGGGCCGGGAAAAAAACC